TATGCTCTTGCTTAATTCCAGTTAAGAGGCAGAGGATTGACATGTACTGAGAATGCCTCTGGGGCTGAGTCAGGTCTCGACAGTTTTTGCCTGGTGCTTGTTGGGTTGAAGTACTGAGGCCTGAACAACAGGCCTTGAGCCACAGCTGACCTCTTGCTGAACCTTCCAACCAGATGTTGTATGTGTCCACTCATATCAACCAATACCATTAGCAATATGATAGATGTATCTGTTTATTCTCAAAACATGTATTTGCCTTTCCCTGTTTAGGAACTGGAGAAGGCTGGATGTGCAGGGGAACTGTTGGAACATTCTCAGCAAATGTACGGAGTGTGATGGGCTTGCGATGTTCTGCCTTCAGCCCAACAGCCTCACCTCCCTGTTGCATTTATTTCTGACTCACTCATGCTGCAGTGGAGACTCGCCCTTCCTAAAACACACAATTCCATGGTAATATTCAAGAAATTCAGTATTCTTAAGGCTCTCTTCTCCCTGACAACCCTTTGCTCTCAGGGCTTTGAGTAGGAGCAGGCTTCTGTTCATTAAGTGTGAAGTCTTGGCTTTTGCCAAGGTCAGGTGAAGGCTTTTCATTTTATTGTGGACAAGTAACTGCGTGTGAGCTTCTCTGCAGGCAGCTGTGAGCAGGTCTGTGCCCTCTTTCCTAAAGAGAGCTCCTTGCTAACAACCATCCCTAAAGGAACTGCAGGAATGGTGCTTGCTTTATCCTTGGGGTTTTAGGGTTTTAGCAAAAACACCAAGCTGTGCTCTGTGTGGATTCCTGTGGTACAAAACTGGAGCTCTGGGGTCTTGTAAAGTCGGTGACTATGTTTGACACTAGACACAGCTTGCAAATTATCCCTCTCTAGGATTCTTCCTAAAGAGCATAAAAGAGATCACTTGGAGACAGAGTCAGGGGTACATGATGCCTCAGGGACTCCTCCAAGGAAGTAGAGCTGCAGAGTCCCTAAACAGCCTTCCTCCCACCACTCCAAAAACTGCTCTGCAGGCTCCTGTTCTTTATAAGCTCCTTTAATTTTGACTTCTCATGTCTGAGGGTCCACTAGAGAGCTTGAATTCTGCTGCTACCTCTTGCAGTGGGATGTTTGTTTTCTCTCCAAGGGCTCACGAAGGATGTAGCTAAATGAACCTGTGTTATTGATTTCCCACAATCACAGTCAGTGAATAGCTTCCCAGTGCTGCAGGATAGGGAAAACTTAATTAAGGGAAGATTGCTGGCCTGAGATAGATTCTCTCCATGCTTCTGAGACTAGCAGAATACTGGATGGGATGCCTGGGACATCTGTCTGAGCTGTGCAAAGGCCTTTGCAGGGAGGAGGAGAATGCTCTAGGTTGAGGCTGGATATTACAGAAATGAGAGCTTTGGGCTAGCATGTGGAGAAGTGAAGGGAAGACTATGGCTGACACCTGTTCAGTTTCATGAACCAAGTAGGCAAACAGAGTAAGTTGGGCTGGTGCAGTGGGAAGTAAATGTGGATGAGCTTAAGAGCACAATGGGGCTTTGTCCCCCAGCATCCTGATTTCCTCTGCAGTGTGTTGTACTGGAGATGAATACAGGGGGGAACAGGCTGCATTCACCTCCAGGTGTGGTACAAGTTGCTTTCCTCTTCTTGTTACTCTGCTACTGAAGTGTACCGTGAGATGGGCATGTTGTTTGTGTGCCACTGCTCCTCATGCTTCCTTTCCTGTTAATGACCTGTCTTGGAAAGTCTTGTTTTTTTCCCAGCAGTCAGGAATGGCTGGTTCAGCCAGCTCTGGGCAGCAGTGACCTGGCACTGCAGGAATGTACGGGATGTTTAAGTGTGATCCTGCTTGCAGCCCCACTGTGCTTCTTGGAAACATGCTGAAAGCTGTCAGTGCTGTCAACACAACACACTGCCCAGTGAGTAGTTAATTACAGGCCTAACCATGTCTTGGTGGTTGGACAGATAGTTTCTTGGGATTTGGGGTTTTTTTGCACAAGACCTCACTGCTTTTATGGTTTTGTGGCATCTGTGGCCACTTCTCTGTGCCATAGTCCACTGTCCTCTGACTTTTGCAGATCAAGCTGAAGAGTCATGCTGAGAGCTGTCAGGAGTCCTTGGCCTTGTGGTTTCGGCTCAAAATGGGACACAAGATATGTCGCTGTACACACACTCAGCAATTTTGCTCTCCAGGGTGGTAAGAAAATACTGTCTTTGTGGTCTTAATGGTATTGTTAATCCTTTCCGGATTGCCAGCGCTCTGAGGGCAGAGCAGCCACAGGAGCAGTGGGATGGGCTGGCATTTGCAGAGCTGGGAGTTCATTGCTGATGTGCAGTGTCACAGCTCTTCACTAGAGGACAGCATTACACATGGCAAAGTAATTCTCCTGCAACAATGCTGGGAGAGATTTCTCACAGATTTCTGTGCCAGGAGTGAGCTGGGGTGGAGGTTACAGTAATTTGCTGGAAGTCAGGAGGGAGGTTTAATGTGTGGCTTAAATGAGTGTCTGGAAACCTTGTCCCCTAAACCTTGTCTGAAGGGTGATCCTGCCTGCCTTGCTGCTGCATGCACCCTGTTGGGGGGGGGGGGGGGTAGAGGCTGCTGGATAGGTAGCACAGGGAGAGAAGGAAGAATATTAAATTTAAAAAAGGGAAATGTTTGCATATCAAAACTATTGTAGCAAGTAGTGGGTAGCCTGGCAGGGAAGGTATGGGAGGAAAGCAAGGAGACAGGGATGTGGGACAAGTGTGCACTAGGTGATGTGCCTTACAGGAGAGAGAGAATAAAGGATGCTTTGAATAAACAAATACTGCTCCAAGTGCTGCTGTTCGTGCCTGCTCTGATGTTGCAGCTCTCTGCAGAGGGCAGGACTGCTGCTCTGTCCTATCAGGGCTCCATCAGCCATCTCTGCATGCAAGGGACAGAGGCTCCTACAGAGCAAGGAGTGTGAAGTGGAAGATAAGGAGGCTGGGTTGGGCAAGAGGAAGGGAGCTGCAGCTTTTGTGACAACCTTTGTGCAAGTGGGGGTTTGGCCCTTGCTGTTGGGCATCATGTGGCCTTGCAGGGCAGCCACCAACTTGGGCACTGATCTTCATGCTGCTTGTGTTTAGTTGAGTCTCAAATATGATTTCCTTATTCATTGAATTAAGGTTTTATTCCTTAGGGGAAGCTGACCTTGAGTGACATGTAGAGTTAAACTGTGGCAGGATTCTTGCTTACTTTGTTCATGAGGCAGAGAAAGCTGATGAATATCCGGGTGTGAGAGAAGGACAGAAGCAGCCTCGCAGTGAGGCCCTGGCAGGAAGCACACTTGGTTCACAAAGCTGTGATAATTGACAGTACCAGTCAAGCCATGGGATCCAGTAGCTATGACTGATCTCACCTTCTCTTGGCAGTACCAGGTGGCAAAGCTCATCCCACCTCTCACTGCTTTGCAGCTGTGACCTCCAGGGCCTTCCTGCAGTGCTGTTAGTGTTCCAGAGGCTGGGAGGACTGCAGCACCTCTGAGCAAGATTAATGCTCTCTATTCTCTCCATTGCTGCTCCCTAATTTAAAGGGAAGCAAACCTGAAGCTGCTCTGGCCTTGCAGAAGAGATCAGGTGAGTGTAGAGAACTTTCACTGCACTCTTTATCATCTTCTGTTTCTCTCCTTGGGAGTAACCACTTTTCCTGAGTGTGGGATCCTGGTGACACTGGCTTGGCTGGGCCTGGAATATCCCAGTGACCCTAAGGAAAGAGAGCCAACTGCCTTCTGTTGGAGAGGCAATTCCTGTAAGGGCAAGATTGATAAGTGCAGAAAATGCCATGGTAGCTGGAAATGCGGAAGCTCTCTTATTCCCAGGGGTTTTTTTGGCAGACCCCTTGAAAGACAAAGGATGTTGTGTTTGCTCAGGGCTCTCTTTTCCTGCAGCAGGGAGCTCTGATTCCTGCTTTTATTGTTTTACAGTTGGAGCACTTGCTGAAGTTCCACTTTATCTCTCCTGCCTCATGCCAGTAGCACCTGAGAATGCCCTTAGGATTCCTTCAGTGACCATTCCCCCAGCTGTCCAGGCTGCTCCAAAGTGCCAGACTCATCACATCAGGGCTGGGAAAAAAGGAAAGAATAAAACATGCAGCTGGCTCCTCTTACAGAGTTGGGGGGGGGGGGGGTGTGTTTGTTCTCCACCTTTTCTGTGCTACTTTTGCCAGCAGCTTGTCCCTTTTGAGCCATGGCAATCTTGGCTTTGATAGGAGGTGAGGAGGACATCCCACTGTGTGCCTGGGAATCCACAGCAATCATAGCACAGTCATTTCCACTTGTAATTAGTTGTGGGGCTCTGCCTCTGACTAAAATTGATCTTGGCCATGTCAGGCCTTTTCATAAGCTGCTCTCTAGGTTAGCCAGTGCCCATGAGCCAGTGGAGCTCTTTTCCTCCTCTGCTGCCCACATGGAATTCCTTTGTTCCAAGGTCAGAAGCAGAGACTTGTTTTGGCCCTGTTTGCCTCTAAGCTGCTTTTGGTCCCTTCCCTGCTGCTTTGTCACTATAATCCCCATCTTGCCCACCTCTCCTGTTCTGTGTCCCATGTATCTGCCACAGAGCCAAGTGAGTGTGTGGAGTAGTGCGGTTCCTGGGACTCTGGGAATGTTTCATTTCATCTGGGGAATTTCCAGCTGCCCCGCTGGTCTGTCTCACTTTGAGGCTGACATTCAGAAGAGCCCATAAGAGAAAGGAAAACTGTTTAAGACTGGACAGTGCAGTGAGTGGCCTCAGAAATGGCATCTGTCCAGAGCAAGGAAGGAGTTTGTTTCCTGGGACATCTGGCCTCTTGCATGAAGGGGGCAGTCTGCTTGTAGCCAGAGCTGAGCTGCTCCGTAACCACAGCTGCTGAAGCAGTTGGAGCATTTCTGGCAATGCCTGTACTTCGTCAAGAGAGCATTTAAGGAAGTTGAGTTGCGGAAGTTCACCGAGCCGGGTGCCTCACCAGCACAGCTCCAAGGAGTGGATCCCTCCCGGAGGGACGGTGGGTGTTTGTGCCCACCAGCACCCCAGCCATTGCCAGCCTTCTTCTGGGTGACCTTGGGTGAGGCTCTGCTTGCCTGGAGAGCTGTTGATTTACAATGCAGATTCATCGCTCCTCGCCTGCCTGTCCCTGCCCCTCCTAAATTGGGCTGGGATATAAGAGGTTGTTTGCTCTCTGATGCCAACAGAGGCCATGGCAGAACGCCCTGCCACGTGAGAGGCAGAGATAGAGGAGAGGGGGCTAAGGAGGAGTGAGCTGTGCAGTTGCTCTTGCTTGTGGTAGCTGAGCAGCACATCTGCAGGACCATGTCTGTGCTGAACCCTGTCCTGCAGCCCACGGAGGTGAAGGACTACCTGTGCAAGGGCGACCGCTTCATCAAATGGGATGATGTGAGTACTGGGGTGTTCCTTCCCTGGGCTGTGCCTGCGGTGGCAGGGAGACACTGGTTGGGTCATGGTTTGTGGGGAGGCCAGGAGCCTGTGTTCAGTGTGGTATCCCACCTGACAGCAGAGGTCTCTAGATGGGGAGAGGGAACTGGGAAGAACAGGAAAGCTGAGGACTGAAGTTAAGGGGATGTTGTGTGTCTGTGTGTGTGTAAGGGGCTGGGGATATGTTTTCTACATCTCTTATAGTGGAGGATGGAAACAAATGGACTGAGTGTACTCTGGGTCTGTGTGTGCAGCCCCTGGTAAAGGACACAAGGTCCAGCCCTCAGGAAGGTGGTCGCTGCTGGGAGTGTCTGTGTGGTGATATGCAAATGCCACATTTGGACTTTCTGGGGGAGCATAAGGGGTAGGGTAGGATCTACTCCAGAGCAAAAAGCACACATTGCACTTTTCAGATAAAGATGAAATCAGGCTCCAAGTTGCTTCCTCTTATGGCCCTGTTGCCTGAGTGGATCGGGGGTGAGCCATGGCCTCCCACGCCTGCCCGGCCCCTGGGTCTGGGAATGACTGAACAGCAAAGGGCCTGTGCTTTAGCAGGGCTGAAGCCTCAGGGTGCTGCAGCAAGCTGCTGCTCTCTCCAGCTCATTGTCCTCTATACCTTCAAAACAGCTGCTTTGCAGTCACTGCCTTTCTGTGTGAGGGGAAGAAAGTGTGGAGCAGCAGCAGTTCATTGGAATGTAAGAGCTCCCCTCCTCACTTTCTAAGGAGGCGAAGGAGTGCTTACCCCAGCACCCACAAACCTGAGCAGGAGGAGAGCAGCTGCCCATCTGTGCTGTCTGGAGATGGACTGTCTGCTGTTGGGCATGGATGTTGATAAAAGGGGGAAAGCCCAGATTATTCGTTATTCACAGGGGTCTGGGGAGATGGTTCATGTGGTGTTGCAAATGAGATGATCAGAAGGAGCCTGCAGCAGCAGTGCAGGAGGGATTAGCACTTTTGTGAGTAGGAAGCTGGAATAGAGTGTTAAGTCCCAAAGGAGCATGTGGAGGAGTGGATCACCTGTGCTCAACATCAGTGGGGTGGTCCAGCAGCACTGAGAATGAGAGCAGTGTACTGTGCAGCTGGCAGGAAGGATGGATGTGAGGAATAGGAGTTGGAATATGGCTGCCGGTTCCCCTGTGAGCAGTACATAAACAGGAGGATGACACCGGGGTACAGTGAAAAGCACAGCCTTCCTCTTTCCTGTGGGCCTACTCCCTGCAGAGTGCACTTAGGGCTTCTCAGAATTTGAAATCTGCTTTCTCAGAATAACAGTAGCCAAACTTGTCTAAAATTGCTGATGACTTTGTGTTCAGTCCTTGGGGGCTATTCTCCCAAGAATTGGAAGCTGTTAAGTACATCACTGGGTATTCCTGGGTTAGGGTCCCCTGAAAACCACCGTGAGTCAGTTGGGCTTCCAAGACCCACCAAGTGTTTATTTCCTGCTGTAGCTGTTGATTAGTGAGCTCAATTCCCATCTGGATCTTTCCTTAAGGTTTATATATTTGTAAACGTTTCTAAGTGGTTGCCTCAACTAAGTAGTTTACACGCTTCATCTCCACCAATAAAGAAAGGCTTCTCCATGAGTGGGCTGTTCTGGTCACATTGCTCCATCACATTGGGCTTTCCCAATCCATGGTTAGAATAGGCTGCAGAGGATGATGGTGAGAGCTCCAGATTGCAGGATTGCTGCACTTTAGAATTCATGAGTGTTAAGTTTTTTGTATCTCTTTCAATTGACACGACTGTACTGTGGGTAACAGTTTTGAACTCCCTCCAGGATAAGTGAGGCAAAGGAGTTCAGGAAGATCAGGCTGGCCTCTTAAATCACTGTTCAGCTTGGGACTGAACTAGGGCCTTCCAGCAAAAAAGCAGACCCACACTTTTTCTACAGAGCCCTCACCTTGTCCAGCTTTGGTAAGGCACTGTCTAGAGGAGAGAGCAATGGGTCCCTGACAGGCAGGACTGTTCCGACCTATCCCATGGAGTTACTTGCAGGACCTTGGGGTAAGGAGCAGCTCTGCAGTGCTTTGGTCAGCATCCAGCAAGCTGGGGCTCCTAAACAGACTGAAGAGGTGAAGTTGTGCTATATGGGTGGTAGCTGAGTTAAAGAACCACTGGGAACTCTGTCAGAAGCCCAGGCAGGGCACAAGGCAGTAGCTGACCTCTTGAGCAGGGCAGATGGGTATGGGTATGGCTCTGTGCTGCCTCTGAGTCCTCATAGTAGAGTCAAAACTGTTCCTATCTCTGAAAGATTATGGATTACAGGATTTTAGCAGACAGTGCTTGCTTTTTGCCCCACAGAGTGAGAAGCAACCAGGCTGGCTGCCAGACCATCTCCTGTAGGATTGCCCATTTTCTTTGCTGCCAGCAGCTGCCCCATTGAAGAGGCTGCCTGCACCCCCTGTCAGGCCTGGCCCTGCCTAGGAGTCTGGCTGGCAGCAGCTTCCTTGCAGCCTCAGCTTGCCCTCCAGAAAGCTGCTTTGTGGGAGATAAGGGTAATCTAGAACATGGCACAATCCTCTGTGGTGGTCCCGTGGGGCCTGTTCTGCTCTCCACAGCCATGTGTGCAGGGAGCAGCCAAGAGCTCTGAGAACGTGGACATGGTGCTGGGCAGGCTGGTGCTGGTGCTGGCCCTGGCACAGCAGGGGAAGACAAGAGGCAGTAAAAGGACCACACACAATGTGCTGTGCAATGAGCACTTTACTGCAAATATTGTGTATGGAAATGGAGGTCCCTGAAAACATAGATACACTCTAGAGTGAAGTATGAGTTGAGTAAAAAACTGAAGAATCTGAGGCCAACAGACAAGTACAACTTCCAGATTTCATTACTGGTTTCATATTAGCAGTGATGTGTTTCAGCTTCCTGAATTGAATCTGGAGCCTTCCCAGAAATGGCTGTGTGGGGTTCAGGATCAGCCCCAAATGATTTAATCTTCTTGCAGCCTCTGGTGTGGGTGTTTGTGTAGCTGCTTCTTTCTATAGTCAGTGTAGAGACTGAGTGTATAGTCTGTGGAGTTTCAGAATGCCCATCTAAAGCAGCATAATGATGCTGCATTGATGTATCCCCTCCTTGAAGCCTTCCTGACCAGGAGCCCAGATAATCTGCACCAACACCTGGATGGGAGATGCCATGGATGAATGCTTTCTCTGCTTGGCCTGGGTTACTCCTGAGCTTGTAGAATGGAGCAGGTCAAAGAATACTTATCAAATGAAAAAATTAATTGAATCTCCAGATACTTTATCTCAGTTCTTTATGTAGAAAACTCCAAGACAGCTCTTCTTGTTAAATGCACAGGTTAGGTGAGACTCAGGATTCAGCTTCCAGAGCATCACAGGTGTCACCATGGAGACATCCTAAAATCCTTGGGTTCATTTTCATAAATCCCAGAGGGTGTTCACCTGCTGGGTCTGTATTTGAACTGGGAACCTTGTGTCCCAGGATGTTTTCTCCAAGTCACCCAAGGTACCAACATTCTTTTGCTGTTTTTTTTCTGTCAGGAAACATCAAATGCCTCTCCTGTGATTCTCCGAGTGGATCCCCGGGGCTTTTATGTGTACTGGACCTATCAGAGCATGGTAAGTGCTGAGGCTGCACAGGTCAGGCTCCCACCAGCCAGCTCAGGTTTGTGTGAGATGACAACTCTGCAAGTGCTCGAGTCCTGCCCTTGGGAGCAAACTGCCACACTTATTCCTCTTAGTAGGGATGCCCCACCAAGGAGTGAGAGCTGCTCAGTGGCAGGTTGGTCTTCACAGCACTAGGAAAGTGCAAGAACTGAAGGTGCGAGTGTGGCCTTTCTGTGCCTTTCATGCTTTCACCTTTTTTGACTCCTGCAAAGCTTGTTATGTGTCCTTCAAAGGACTTCATGAAGAACAGTTTTACTGATATCACTGATATCAGTAAAAAAACAGTGCTGATATACCTGTCACCCAGCAAGATACAGGATTCTCCTAACCTGTGCAGTGGGGCCATTAACTGACTCATTGGGCTTTTAGACCATTTAATTTAAAAAGTAGTGACCGTAGTGATGTAGGGCCTACATGGAGTCTGGAGAGCAAGTTGTGCTCAGGGTGATGTTTGCAGGCTGCTGGAGGAGAGGGGGAGATAACACATGGAGGAAAGAGAATTCAGTTCCTCACTGATGAGTACATCAAATGATGGAGAGGGAGGTGGAAGGCTGGCCTTACTTCTGCTTTCCAGAGCAGGCTGTGGTTCAGCTCTGCTTCCTCCGCCTGACCTACATGCCATGGCAGTCAGACAGTCCTGCCCAGGCCCTGGCCAGGGACCTGGTGGGTTTGGGTGGGCTCTGCCTTTCCAGAGATTGTGCCCAGTGCCAGCTGGGACCGGGCGCTGCCACAGCCACATCCCCTGAGAACAGTGTCACAATGCTGGGGACTGTCATGCCCCTTGATGTCTCTGTCACTCCTGTTCTGCTTTCAAAGTCCACTCGGGCAGTAGAATATCTGCTCTAAGGGTGCCAGCAGGATGAAGTGGAGCACAAAGTGAGGCAAGGGGAGCTGGTGACACCATGGAAAGGGAGCTACTTCATTGGGATACCTGGGAAAGGGGCTGGTGGAGGGGAGCATAGCTGCAACAAGGAAAGCCAGACTGGAAGGGGTCTCGCATTCCTGGAAAATGCTGTTGGTTAGCAGCTAAAGTGAACTGAACTGCTTTTGTACTAGAGATTCACAAAGGAGTGGGATTAGGAGTAAAATTACTTCCTGCTTAACAATAAAATGGGGATACAGCCAGAAGACGTGGCATCCACATTGTCATGTAATGTGATCTTGGAAAATAATATTATCTGCTGCAACAAGTATAATTTGTTCTCCAGATCCATGGTGAGAAGAAAAATTAGCAACAGAGGAAGGAAATTCAGGTTGGATATTAAAAGAACAAACAAGACAGCAAGCCAGTAGTGAGGACATGGAGGGGCTGCCTGGGAAAGGCTGTGCAGTGTCCTCTGTGGGAATGGCTTCCCTCCCTGCCTTGTTCCTGCTGGGAGAGCTCTTCCACAGGGAAAGACACTAAGCCATGGAGTGCTTTCCTTCCTCCTATGATCCTCATTTTTTTTGGTCCTTATTCTGTTTGTAGGAAAGAGAAATTCTGGATATCACCAGCATCCGAGACACCCGAGCAGGGCGATTTGCCAAAATGCCCAAGGTGAGGCCACAGCTTCTTTCTGTCCTGTGTTTCAGTGGGAAGGCAGGGCTGCCTGAGGTTTTGGTGGGCTCAGGCAGCTTGTCCTGGATTTCTGTAGGAAGAAGCTAGAGAGGATCTCATCTCCTTACATCAAAGCTATGTAAATACAGAAAACCCATCTTGACTCTTGTCCCTGACCTCCCAGGGGCCCTCTGTGCTCCCAAAAGCAGCACTTCCAGACTATGGTAGATGGGCTCATTGGAAGGAATATGTCAGAAAGCCAGGAGTACCAATTCCCCTTCCAAGTGCCCTGCTGCACGGCTAAGTCCTGCTGGAGACTCTGATGTTCCTGCACTGAGACACTGGAGCTGCTCTTGTGTAAGGATACACAGGGTACCCACAAACCTGGAGTTACAATGCCACTCCAACAGTGTGTGCTGGGATCTTCCCTTTAAAGGGAAGAAAATGCATTTTCAGAAAAAGTGGTTTGTTTCTTTTCCTCCCCGTATATTTTTACATTTGCACGTGATCAGGGCTTTGTCCTCAATTTCAGTTATAATTGAAGATTCTTGCAGCCCTTGTTAGGACTTTGCTTCTGGGACTTTGTTTTTAACTTTTCCATGTATGGAAAAGGCAAGCAGAAAACTGCAGTAAAGCACAAAGGTGGAAAAGGGACCAAAGAAGTAAAGCTGATGCATCATGTGGTGACATAGGTGACTCTCTAAGGCAAAAGGGAAAGGTTTTGCAATATCTCCGGAGCCTCAAGAAGCCTTTTGCATAAGTTGTGGGGCTGTTTTCTCAATCTGCTCTGAAAATGTCTATTCAGAGCTCCCCAAGACCAGTATTTTTCAAAATACCATAAAAAGGTGGGTGCTAAAGGCACAGCAGAGCTCAAGAACAATGACCATCATAAAAATCATCTTTCCTTCAGAGAAACTGCCTTTCTCCTTAGAAGCTCACTAGATGGGAACATACTTCAATTTTCAATGAGCCTAAAACTTTGTCAGCAACTTGTTTTGTGGGAACTGTGCTTTAAAAATGCTGTCAGAGGTTGGATTTTCATTTGAGAGAATAAAATATTTGGGGCTGTTTGAGTTGGTGCTGCCCTCCAGATGGGACACACTAAGAGGCTGACTTAAAGGAGATACTCTTTTCTAGGGTGTTAAACTTTGAGAAATGACCTGTTGACAAAATGAATTGATCTTTGATATAGATAATAAATTGCTGGGGGAAACACTGAGGCCATGGCTGGATGTCCTGGTGGTAACAGAAGGCTGGAGATGTCCTAGATTTTAAGAATTAGTTAAGGAAGACTAATTGGAGAGTACCAAGAGAAGACAGTTTGCCAATGTGCCAAATGTGTTATTTGGCGTAATAAAATCAGGCTGGTTTGTAGGAAGACCTTGAATTGCTGATTGAATGCATGATCTAATGAGTGATACATTTTATACAGATAAAAATCAGGCAATGCATACAGAAAAAATCCCTCATCCTTCTGTAATAATAGGCCCTGAGTTGACTGTTGCTACTCAGAAAACATCGTGGGTGTATGGTAAAATATCAATGTAGTGTTCAGCAGTATTTGCCTCCTAAAAGTAAAGTGTATCTTAGAGATTATAAGGAAATCATTACCAAGTTGTGCTATTGTGTACACCCCAAATTGATCCATATTTATGTGCAATTCTAGTGTACTCTCAAATTTAGTGAGGACTGGAAAAGGTATGGAAGAGCAGCAGGATTAACAAAGGAAAGAAGTGGCTGCTGGGGGCAGAGCATCTGAGTAGGAGGGACTGTGTTCTGGCAGAAGGAGTAAGGTGAATGTGATGTGGAGTGCTGTAATATCAGCAGCTGAATGGAGAAGGGGAGCACGAAGGGCTTACTCAGAGTTTGAAGCAATTACTCAGGGTTTCTTCCAGTGCAGGATCTCCATATAAGGTGGAATTTTCCAGAGGTAGGAGTGGCACAAGCAGGAGGTGCTGCTGCTGTCCCACCTCAGATCACCATGCCATTGGTAATGCTTCCTGCCCAGTCATGGAAATGTGAGTATAAAAAGTCAGTATAAGAAGGAAATGCCCTTAGGGAGTTATTAAATGTGAGATAATGCCTCTGGGTTAGGAAGCTGCTGAATCCCAGATTGCTGGGAGCTGCAGGAATGTGTCAAAGAAGTGCCAGTGTGTATGCCCTGTTCCAGTGCTTTTCTCTAGGCACCTGGATGGAGCTATTCTGTTCTAGTTGTTGTAATAGGCCAGGGATGGGATTTTAGAGTCATGGGAATTGGCTGCAGCTCATTTTTGAAGAACAACGAAGCAAGGGTCAAGCACTGACTGATTTATTAAGTATTCTCAGTGGGCAGAAGTGATGCACTTGATGACAACCTTTGCTGTGAAAATCCCAAGTGCTCTTTGAATTCTGCATTTTACAGAGACTCATTTGAAATAAGTCCCCTTTTCATTTCAGGGAGTTTTCTGGAATTCTGTGATAACATGTAGTAAAATGCACTAGATTGGCTCCTTATCCATCTTTTCCTTGTGGATCCTGGGAGGCCTTATGTGGGCACCGAAGGGGTGTTGAACCAAGATGTGCCATCTGGGTCTGGAAGATTGTTACTTACACATAGCTCTGCTATCCTTGATGCCTCTGGCTTAAAGCCCTCAGGGTCATGTTCATTTGGCTGTCCTGAGAGCAGAAGTTCACAAAGGAATGCAGAAAGCAGGGAAAAATTCTTCACATGAACCACCACACCCTCCACATGGGGCAGCTGTGTTCAGGGCGTTGTTACAAAAGGCATTAATATAAAAAACTGGTGTGGTGAAGCAAATAAAAATCTGTTTAGATGTGGAAGAATGAACATGGGTGCTCTTCTGCTCTGTCACAAAATAGTGGCTTGTAATGGTTGTAGAATGGAACTGTTGGAATTAATACCAAGAGTTAACTTGTTTCACTGCCTGAAGGTGAAGAAGAAATGAGCCATCGGCCTCTTTTAGGACAAGGATTAGGACAAGAAGAGCAGGATCACAGCTGTAGGAAGAACTGTGGATGGCACCAGCAATAAAAGGAACATCCTTTCCCCTTCTCTGCAAGTGATGCCCCAGTCAATTTGCAGCTGCTCTGAGGCAAAGCTTGTGGCCTGGTTTTCCTGCTGGCTGGTTACTGAAAGAAGTCCAGAGGAAGGAGAGTGCTGTATGGACAGCATCTGTGCCCCTGCTTTCCACAGCAAGGGGCTGTGCAGGTTTGGGCTGTGGCTCAAGGGTTGTAACCTGCCCCATGGGTTTTCCAGTCCCATGGCGTGGAGAAGTCTCCCTGGGAGGGGGTGGGTCACTGTGGGTGTCGGGAGTTCCCTGCTTTCAGTAGCACTTTGCCACCACTGCCTGCTCAGAGGTTTGGGGTTTTTCTTTGTAACCCCTACACGCAGCACGAATAATAACACCAAAGCAGCCACGTGAGAAACCACTTGAGAAGAGACCTGCTGCCGTAGTACTGCCAGCACAGGTCACAGCTGGAACCTCATCCATGGTTAGGGATGCCTAGGGAGCAGGTGAAGCATGAAAAGGGACTCACCAAGGGCTGCCAGCCGTAGGAGCAACCTCCACATGGAAATGGCCCTTGCCTGCCTTCCCCAGGCCTTGCCTCACCACAGAGCAGAATCTTCCCCGGCCCCTCCTACGCAGGGCTCCCCTGCGAGGTTCTTGGAGAGCGGCTGCGCGTTTCTGCTGTGACTTTTCTTCGCAGATTTTTTTTTTTTTTTTTTTTTTTTTTACGTGGGGCAGAGCGAACTTTGGTGTGTGTTCAAGAGAATAATAAAGATAAGAAGGAGCAGTGCCTTTGAACAGCAAAGAGACAAGATTAAAAAGCTATTGACTGTAGTTCAGCAGTGTGCTGATACAGATTGGGCTGTTATTTACAATCAGGTCTGTGTCTCTTTTCAGTAATGAGGAACAATAAGGGCTGCTCTATTTGTGGGGCTTCTTGTGGTTTCTTTTTTAAGGCACCAAGACCCTGGAATGCTGACAGAGAATCTAATAACTAAGGCCAAAATACATGATGTTTTAGCCCAGACTTCTGGCCTATTGGCTGTGTCTTGGGGTTTGTTTAGATGTTTCAGGCGCCATTGGCTTTGAGACAGACATATTTTTTAATAAAAACAAAAGTTGTACTTTCTGATTGTCATGATTATAAACCAGCTTCATGGTCTGTCCTCATTCTGTTGGTGTTGAACCTGGAGCTACAGCCTGAACTGCACATGTACAGGAAGAAAACAACACCAAGGTATTTCACTCATCATGTTTTGAGACAATAAAGTTGAAGCCAGTGGGAATGTTCAGGAACCCTGCAGGACAATCACAGTGCCCTCGGAGCTGAGCTGTCGCTGTGAGCCACAGGCTCTAAACACTGTGGGTGGTCAGTGGTTCTGCAGCACAGGGACTGACCAGCTCTGGCATTGGGATTGAGCAACTTGTGAGCCAAGGATGGAGCTGAACTAAGTCTAACTCCATCCCTCCAACTGGAGAGCAATCATATGGAGTTGTAAGGAGGCACCAATCTGTGAGTGTGCAAGAGAGAGGCAGGTACCAGCCTGTGTCTGGCAAAGGATTTATGAGTGGTGGAGCAGGAGCTGAGCAAGGAAATGGGCACGTGTGAGTGATGACCTTTGTCATGCTGGGCCCTCCTGCTTCTGCCATTGTTGTGCAGTGAGTTCTGGGGCCACACATTCTCCTGTCCCTGGCAGGATGTCCTGCTGGATTGCAGAACACCATGGGCTATTCCGTGCCTGGGACTCTGAGCTGCTGATTTTCCAGTTCCTTTAGGTAAAACACTGAGGGCTGAGAGTGCTTCACTGTGGATTTTTGTCTGCCTGTGTCCCTAAAATGCTTGGCCCAGGGACAAGTTGGCCCTCCCCATTCTAGAGCCAATATCTCCAGCATGGAGCAGCAAGCCTAAAAGGGACAGGAGTGTTACCTTCAGAGTTAAAGGCATCCCCCAAATACCTTGGGGCTTCCTTTTTTCTTTCTGGCAACCAAACAAGAGCTCCCTTCTCCAAAAGAGAAGATTTGTTGTCCTTGTGCCACAAGACACAGCTCTGTCAGGGCACAGTGACACAACAGGTCCTGCAGTCAGTCGGCTCTGCCCCCTCTCAAGCAGAGAAAGGACTGTCCCTCTCTGTCCTGTGTCTGTCTCTGACTCTTTGTTTATATTTGCATGAGAATTTGCTTCTCTCTGGACTATGGATCTCTGTACAACGGAGGACTTTAGGGAAATCAGGAGGGTGGGACATGAAACTCCAGCTGACTCCATATTTAACCACTCTGCTAGTAGGTTGTTTTCTGCTTATCTAGCTTTTTAAAGGGGATTTGCTAAGAGTGTTTCCCTTCTGATTTGCGTGGCTAATATGCGTGTCCTGCTTTTCATGCAGCAATTCCTATTTTTCCTTTATGGCTACCTGCAAGGCAACAGTGAGTAATCCCAGAGGGAAGCTGTGGCACAAGGCACTTAAGGAGTGCAGGTTGTGAAAGAGCCACGATGTGGCATCAGGTTCAGAGCTCCTGCACACAGTCTCTGGTCTTCTCTCCACATCTTCCTTGGGTGCTGGATGCATCACTGCCTGGATAAGAGAAAAACTGCTTGGTTTGCTGGGGACATGGCCTGGACAGAGAGGTGTGGAGAGAGCCAGGTGACAAATGTCTGCTAGAGCATACCGAGAGTAGCGTGCAGAGAAGGAAGGGGTGGGCGGAGCCCCGGATAACAAATACAGGAAATGAGTTCAGCACAACCACAATTGTTTTGGGCCTCCTCTCCTGTACAGCCCTAGAGCTGAACAAATGCTGGTGCATTTGCAAGATGAAGTCAAGTTTGGAGTTAAAATCCCAACATTTTGCTGCTGGCACTGGAAAGTTGAGCTCCAACAAGGAGTTGCCACGAGCATGGGAAGGAGATGTGGGTGTTTGGTGGTGCTCAGTTCTGTGAAAGAAAATGGCTCACAAGCAAGAAGGAGCCATTTTAGAAATTCCCTTGTAGAAAATAGGCAAATCATATGCCTTCCCTTCCCTCCCTCCAAATGCTCTGGGATTAAACAGGTTTCAGAGTTACCCCCTTGGAGAGGTTATTTTCCAAAATAAGAGACAGCAGTCAGATGATCCAGAGTTACAACCCACCCTGTCCTGTTTTTCTTAAAGATGCCTGTTTGCTACAGCTGTGACAAAATTGCAAGTGCTTCAGAAATTAGGAAAATTGAAGTAAAAAAATTCTGCAGTTCCTTATAAAATGTGTATTCAGCTCTGTGTGTGACGTGGTGCTGAAACCTGAAAGAGCTGAAACCTAAAGGTGCTCTCAGATTCCAGCTCCAGTTTAACTTCCAAGTCTGATCTGCTCTAACAATTCTAGATTGTGGATTTGCCCTATTTCTAAAGGAGAGCAGGTGCTCTGACAGCTCTCTGTTTGCTTCGACAGGGATTTGTCCTGCACTTTAGATAAGGGATTCCTGTGCTTTATTCTAGGAATGGAAATTTTTATCTTCCCATTATAAATAGCACCATCAGTAAAACTCTAGGATACCTTGGATACCTTGGCTTAGTGACACCATGCATAGGAATGCAGAAAATGATGAATAATTTAAAGCATCCTATAAATACTTTCATATGGTGCTGCAATCCAAGTACCACTAATCGGATGAGCTTACACTTAACAAAACAAGTCTCTGGTGAGCTATTGCTGTAGGGTACTGGAATTGCTATGGAAAAAAACACTACTACCAACTGACAGCAGCAGAAGATGGGGCTTGGAGGGGAAGAAGCCAACTCTGAAGTGACAGGAGGTCCCAAAAACTGGGTGTCACACTAATACACTTTCTAGTGTGTGTGTTTTGATAAAATCAACTGGTTACACACCTCTGGCACAAGCAGGCCAAACCCTCGCCTGCTTGTTTGCAAGTCCAGCCTGAAGTTTCAGAAGAAATTTCTTTAAGAGCAGTCTCCAGCTTTGAATTTTTCAGGCTTGTGCAGGGACGTTAGTTATGGTGATTTTTCCCATGGAGGATCCAGTAATGCAGACTCCAGAATAAAGATAAAAAATAAGGAAAGCCAAGGAAAGGAAGATTGCACTAAGCACTTTTGCAACCCTTGAGATGCTTTCTGTGAATCTGAACTAATGTGTGTACTGGGGTCTGGTTTTTTTGGGTACAGTTTTTCCTCATTCTCCAGTTACTCCCATGTGTTCTGTTTCTTTTGCAGTCCCTGAAGGTCCGAGATGTTTTTGACTTGGATCACCCTTCCAGCACCTTCCTGCTGAAGAACCTCACAATTGTATCTGGTTCTGATATGGTTGACCTCACTTTCCATAACTTTGTGTCCTACAAGGAGAATATTTGCAAGGTATCAGGGCCTGAGGTCTTGGAAGTACTGGGAACCTCTAAGGATTGGGGCATTCAGTGGAGACCAGGAAAGGAGAGGAGGAGACATGATAATGTAAGATAACAGTTTAAACATAATGCTGAGCTCTTTCAGCATTACTGACAAGGTTATAAACAAGTAGGTTTATGTTCCAGTCAGGTGTGGTATCTCCAAAGTTCTAGAAGCTTCTGCCCTGCACAGAGAAGGACCAGTAGAAGACTGGTCATTGTTGTGTTTTGTATGGATAAATAGGCAGCTGAGAAGTAGAAAAGTTTCAGCACTTAGTGTTTATAGGCAGGAGGAAGGTGATGGAGTCAAGCCCACAAATCTCAGACAGAATAAGGGGTAAGAGTTTTAAACTGGAAGACAGTAGATTTTAATTTGGTGTGAGAAGAATTTCTTCCCTGTGAGGGTGGGGGGCCCTGGCACAGGTTGCTCAGAGAAGCTGTGGCTGTCCCATTCCTGGAAGTGTTGAAGGTCACATGGGGCTTGGAGCACCCTGGGATAATGGAAGGTGTCCCTGCCCATGGCAGGATGTGGCACTGGATGGGCTTTAAGGTCCCTTCCAACCCAATGATTCCAGGATTCTGTGCCCTTTCCATGTTTGCTGTGTACTTCTTGGAGCAGTTCAGTAGTGCCCAACTGCTTCTGCCCTATTTGTTCCAGGACTGGGCTGAGGACATCATGGCCATTGCCCGGAATCCCCTCATGTACAACGCTCCCCGCTTCACCTTCCTAGAGAAAATGTAAGTCCTTTCTGAGTAACTTTTTTCTCTGAAAGAAAAAGTTTCCATCTCCTGCTCTTTCTGACAGTACTTGAAAAAAAAAAAGACTTCAAAGCATCCAGGTCTCTTGGCAGCCTCCAGACCAAGGCCTGGGTCATGCCTTGGCTAAGCTGATGGTCTGTAGGACCCCGATTTTCAGTTCAGACTGAAACTGTTAGACTGTTTTCCCAATTAAATGTTTTTCCTTTCCTCTCACTTAGTAGGATCTCTTAAGATGGTACAAATGCATTTTTGTAATCTTGTTTGGGTTTTTTTTTTTCACAGTCTAGTGAAGCTGAAGTTGCAGCTGAATGAAGAGGGAAAGATTCCTGTCAGGAAGTGAGTGTGGATATTTGTTTCATTGTGTGTTCAGACTACAGGCAGAGCAGCTGGTGAGAGGATGGTTGCTCAGTGGCTCCAGCTGTCTGCTCTTCCTGCACCTAAGAGGAGGAGAACATTCCCTCTGTGTCCAGGCCATGGAAGTGCTCCTGCTGCATTGCCATAGATGACACATAATTTGAGTCTGGAAAAGAGACTTTGTGGCCTTCATCTACAGCAAGAAATGGCTTAAATAGCACAGATATAATTTCCTGCTTGTTGCCAAGAAAAAACCAACAAAACAAAGTAACTTTGGTAAAATTCTGATCACAGATGATTTCGCAAACCTGAGCAGATAGGTGGATGAGGTGTAGGATTGTTTCACTTTCCTGTAAGGAGTTCTCCATCTGGAGAGCTCTTTGCTGGACTCCCCAGTTCACCTGCAGCAGGGCTCCCTTGCTTTTCTTGTCTCCTTTCTCCCTGTGTGAGCACTCCAGTCCTTCCCCACTTCCTCCATCCCTCAGCCTTTGCTCTGGATGTGCATGAGAGTGAAGCAGCCTCTGGGCCAGTGTTAGTGCTGGTTTAGGAGCAGAACAGATGGAGATTTGTCCTTCCCTGTCCCCAGCTTGGCCTTGTGAATCAGGTAGGGCTCCCATTAGAATGGGAAACAAAGCCCAGCCTGTCCCTTCTCCCCTGCACTATGTGGCATGAATCTGGAATTGATTTTGTGCCATTTAGTGTCTTCCCAAGAAAAATTGCTCCAGGGCTGGTCCTGTGGTTTCTCTGTGTTGATTGAGCTCATAGAATGACAAAAGGCAGCACTGCCATGTTGAATTCCCTTTTGGGTCCATAAATTACCTTTTGTTTTAAGAATAAGAAGCTGCAGACAGTGCATTTGGGAAGTTCTGAACCACTCTGCTCTTGGTCTGTGCTGTGTTACAGCATCACAAGAGGTGAGCACTAATTACCCCAAATAAATACAGACTCCAGGGTGTCTTGTAAAGCAGAGCTGTGCTGGATTAGGGCTGTGCTGACTAAATGGGCTCCTGGAGGGCTGAGCTTTATTCAACACTAAACATTTTTTGTTATTTGTTTTCTAAACCACCAACCAGCAGAATTTCATTGTCAGAAACCAGAATATTCATCAAAAGGCTGTTAAAAATGTGTAGGTCTATAATGAATAGCACACTAGGGAAGAATGCTTTGAATTAATCTTTAAAATGCAAGCAAGGTAGCATTGCTGCAGGAAGAAACCAGCTTATTCCTCTGGAACAAGCCAGAAAAAATATCTGATACAGGTTGTACCTCTCATCAGTGCCCATTTCTTGCAGAATGGTAAAAATGCAGACCATTAAATAGTCCACATTAAGAGCAAGGTTTATAAAAGTACTCAGTACTGTAGGGTAAAAAAATTCTAGTAAAGGCTATAGGTAAACATAAGGCTTTCAAAACTCCTAAAATCCTGAAAATTCCACAAGCATTTGCCTTTCCTTTAAATATGTAAATCCCTCTGGAATCATACCAAGGCTGCTGCAGTTTTGCCTTGCAAAGGGCAGTGTTTGCATGAGCTGCTGCAGTCCCCACCAGGCACTCCCACCTGGCAGCACAGAGCACTCCTTGTTCCCCTGTTTGCTGTGAGCACCTGTGACTCCAGGAACTTAACAGAACTGAGGCTGTTAAGTGCCTCCGTGCACTTATAAATCCACGTGGATTTATCCATGGTGGAGACCATGGTGCTGTTGTCAGGGATGTTCTGAAAGGAGGGGAAGTTCAGTTATTGTTACTTCTCCACAGTACCATAGGAAGCACCTCCAAGAGGGGCAGAAAAGGACAGGAGAGGGATTTTGAGTGACATGGCTCTTACAGAGTCCATTGCAGAAATACAGGACTTCTGCTTTAAATCACTAGTCAAAAAATGCTGTGTAGGTTTATCAAAGTCAATCCCTCAGTTACTGCCCTGGAAAACCACTGTCTTTGCTGGTTCATGCTTACAGTTGTTTTGCCTGTCTCCCTTGCTGTGTATGTGGAGTGTCGTGCACTGCCTGCAGTTCCAGCCCCCCAACCTCTGTCCTGCCCCATGGTGATGTTTGTTTTCCTGTCTGGTCAGTATTTTTCAGATGTTCCCTGCAGACAAGAAGAGGGTGGAAGAAGCATTAAGAGCTTGTCATCTGCCAAATGGCAAGGTAGGGGTTTCTCTGGGTATCCAGAAGTCTCATGAGCTTGTGAAAGATCTTTTTCCCTGCCCTGACTGGGATGCCTTTGGCTGTGAAAAACCATCAGCCAAGATGGTCACAGTTGTTTACCTTACCCTACCACTGCCAGGCTTTAACTCTGGCCTGCTGGCATCAGCTCTTAAGTGTTTTCCAGTAACACTTGTGACTCCAGCACGTGCACTGTGTGGCACAAAGAGCAGCAACACCTGGCCAGATGTTCCAGTCATTACTGGGGTTGTCACAGCCAAGTGCTGAGCTGTGGGTGTTCATGACAAGTAAGAGCTGTCCTGGGTTTGTGGTCCTGACACATCTCCATTGCATTCTCAGAATGATGCCATCAACCCCGAGGACTTCCCCGAGCCGGTGTACAAGACGTTCCTCATGAATCTGTGTCCACGGCCTGAGATTGATGAGATATTTACCTCACAGTAAGTTTCCCTCGAGCCACAGCCCAGAACTTGGTCTCTTGTGGCAAAAGATAGACAGGAAGGAGGGGATTTAGTGTCATGGGGTTTGTCTGGCCTTAGGCCTTAGAAGGGCAGGATCCCAGGTCACTTAATGCCTTCACTCATGGCCTGAATAAAAAGGATGAGACCTCAATGTGCTATAGGACCCTGAAATATATGGGCCCAGAGGGAGGATCAACCTGAGGAAGGATCAACTCTCCTATGTGAAAAGATTTCTGGGGTAATTCCCAAGTCTTACCTCTGCCCCTCTGTGATTCTCTCACTGCAGCCATCTAAAAGCAAAGCCCTACATGACCAAAGATCACCTGGCAAAGTTCATCAACAAGAAGCAGCGTGACACCCGCCTCAATGACATCCTCTTCCCACCAGCCAAACCTGAGCAGGTGCAGAGCCTGATAGAGAAGTATGAGCCCAGTGGGTTTAATGTCCAGAGAGGTGAGTCTTGTTCAGCCCAAAGCTCTTGGTGTACAGGTGGGATGACAGAGCAGAAGATCTTGTGCCCTCTGCCATCCTGCTTCCCAGGGGAGCAGTCAGCCTGCTTCCCACAACTCCCTGTTGTTCCCACAACTCTCTTTCCACCTCCAAAGAGGGGCCAGAACCGTTCTATTTGGCGGCCCTGAACAGCTCTGTTTGCCATGCAGGGCAGCTGTCTCCAGAGGGGATGGTCTGGTTCCTCTGTGGCCCCGAGAACAACCTGATCGTGCTGGAGAAGCTGATGCTGTACCAGGACATGACCCAGCCACTCTCGCACTACTACATCAATTCCTCACACAACACCTACCTGACAGGTAGGGCTGTGCCAGGGCAGGCACACCCAGGGACAGGGGAGGGACACAACCAGCCTGGCAGATGTGTGTGCCCTGGGGGATTTGGGGGCTGGGCTGACTCTAAATGCTGTGTGACATGAAGCAGTGTCACCCTGCAACCGAAAACATCTTGTCAGTCTGCTGCATCCACCTGCTGAAGGCTGGCAGAGACTCCTGTTGCCCCTATGTGTGCAGGAGCTGTCCTGTGTGAGTAGCTAACACTGAGCCTCTCTCCTGCAGCTGGGCAGTTTTCTGGGACGTCCTCTCCTGAAATGTACCGGCAGACACTGCTGGCCGGCTGCCGCTGCGTGGAGCTGGACTGCTGGAAGGGCCGGCCCCCGGATGAGGAGCCCATCATCACCCACGGCTTCACCATGACAACTGAGATCCTCTTCAAGGTAGTGAAGAGCTTTCTCCATGGATGCTTTCCCCTGCCTGCTTTTAGACTGATTGCTGAGGGAGCCAGATGGCTGAGGATGTTTGAGAGGAAAAGATTGATGGCGAGGTGACAAGTGAATGAATGTGTGGGTAGAAGGAAAAGTGAACAGATAAGCACTAGGTTGAGTTTGTACAAATTTGGAATGGGAGGAGTAGGAGACAGGTTGATAGCTAGATGAAGATGGATGGATGGATGGATGGATGGATGGATGGATGGATGGATGGATGGATGGATGGATGGATGGATGGATGGATGGATGAGGGAGATGTGAGAAGTCAGGCAGAAGCCATGGAGAGATGGCTGAGCAGACGTGTGTGTGTACACAGGCTGTGTCACAGGATGGATGCACAGAACGTGGCAGGAGGCTGGGGGGTTTATAGACAGAGGCACATCAGAGGAGTGAACAGGATGCCTTTTAGAAAACACAGTCAAATGAGTTAATCTTCTGGTCTGCAGCAGGTTTCTATGGCTGACTGCCTCAAGTGGAGGCTTTTGGAAGAACAGGGTTCAGTTTCTTCCTAATGACCTGAGTGTTGGAATGTATTTTGTGGAGCAGCTGGCTTCCCTGAGGATTCAGCTCCCAGCCTTTGGAAGCACAGCACAAAGCCAGGCAGTACAGGGCATTTATCCACAGCTTGCAAGTTACAAATAAAGGCATCACGTTGACTTTTTTTCTGCACTTCTTTACACAGCTGCTGCCAACAGGTGGAGGCGCTTTAGATGTTTTTTCCCAGCTCTTTATTTTTCTTCTGTATCTTCCCCCCAATTCCCACACTTCACTATTACTAAAATATTTATGTGTGAAGAGGAAAAAACAACAAACCAAAGCAGTCCTTAAGGTCAGAGGTATTGTCCTCAGACGCAGTTATTTCCAAAGCCCTGTGGTATCACTGCTGCTTTTTGCACAGCAGTTCACTGCAGATGGAACAGAAATAATGGCATTTGTAGCTACTGTAATTGCAGAGTGCTGCTGAAGCCTGGGACCGTTCCTCAAGGAAATTATAACCTGCTAACACAGCATGTGCTGGGTTTTGGTTTTACATAACACATAGTCCTTCCTTCCACTACAACTCCTGTGGCCTTTTAGTAGCATTGTCTGAGGCTTTTCCTGAGAGCCTTGAGGCTTCTGTGACAGACTCCCAGTGGTCCATGGAGGAGCAGCTGTGGCAGCCTCCCTCCTTGCTGAGGTCATGGCTGATCCAGGATTTGGGATGATCAGGGGACTCTAATTGCAAAGGAGCAAATGGCACTTCTTTACCAATTAGCAGGACCAGAAAGGAAAATAGTGGAAAGTTTGTGGCAGTTTAACAGGGGCTTGGGGAAAATATTATTTTTTCTTACATCATTAATGCTGAAAAGGTTTCCATGGTATTTGCATTTGAAATGTCAGCACAGCTGGTAACTGAACACTCCAGCTCTCTTTGCTGCCAGGCAAAAGGATTTTATAAGCAGCAGAAATGATAGAAAATTGGGCAGGTTCAGAGGTAAGTATGGATAGAGTTTGCAGTGGTTTAATGTAGTGCTGCACACACCTTTCAAGGTGCTTGGGGCAGGGGTTTGTCCCTCTGGCCACATGCTCTCATGTGCAGTGATGTGTACACTGACCTGTGCAGCAAAACCAAAATCTCACCTTGTTGCATCTTCAACTTCATTTTGGTGCAAGCTGTTGAGTTTAGCTCAGTGTGGATCCTCTGGAGCTGGAAATCTGGGCAGGTGTGAAAAAGATGACACTTCTCACCTTCTTACTGGGAGAAGTTTAGTGACTTTGAAAGGAGCTCCTGAGAGACAGTTATGGAGTCTGTTCAGTGGGAGGTCAGCTGTGTCTCTGTTATTAATGGCTGCTGAGCTTCTCTCTGACCATGGCCTCTCCCTCAGGATGCCATCGAGGCCATTGCAGAAAGTGCTTTTAAAACATCTCCGTACCCTGTGATCCTGTCCTTCGAGAACCACGTGGACTCGTGAGTATTTGGTGATTGGGAGAATTGGCTGCTGTGTCCAGAGCAGAAAATACACAGGCAAGGGCTGCTGGGTTTTAAGTGAGTGCTGAGCTGAAATTAAGTATTAATTGAGGTTTCTGAAGCAACTGAAGGTGGGTCAGAGCTGAAAGGTGAGCCTTAAAACTGCAGAGTGAGGTGATCACAGTTGTGCAGCCTTTTACCTTAGGATTACAGAGTATGAACATAGGAGTTGGCTTGGGAATGGGACCTTAACATCTGCATAGCTGAGATGGTTTTCTGGGTAGAGGACGTGGACATCTTTTGTTCATGCCAAACTCTGATTTTGGGCATTTGCTTTCCTCTTCACTCCTGCCTAATCTCTCTTAGGCCAAAGCAGCAGGCAAAGATGGCCGAATACTGCCGAACAATTTTTGGAGACATGCTGCTGACAGAGCCACTGGAGAAATACCCGGTATGAGGGAGCTGGGGCAGGAGGCCACTGGTGAGGCCTTTCTGGAAAACTTGGTCACTCCTGGTGCTGGGAGGTGCCACAACAACAGATACAATGCCATGGACATGGATCCTGGTTCATAGATACAGGTGGAAAACTCTTGTTTAGTACTCTGTCACCTGAGGGGCTCTGGGCACTGAGCTCTGGGTGGCCAAGGATGTACCAAGGGTACCAGGTGTGTTCTCTATGTGACACTGATCCAGCTCTGTCTGCCAGCACTTGGAAACAGGAGCAAAGGCCTAATCCTGCTTCTAGCCTGGAAATATTCCCTTCCAGGCATAGGTGGGCAGGTCAGTGTCATGTGCTTGCAATAGCTGAGGAAAGCTCCCCCTCTGCCTGACCTCAGTCTTCATCTTACCTGTACAACAGGTATTTCTGTGGCCCCAGTGACACCTTTGGTGACACAACTGCCCTTCCAGGAGACATGGTTTTAAACATCTGAGCAGGATCTGTGTTCTGCAGGGCACGAGGCAGATCCTTGGGGTGCACAGAGGAGGGATAGCTGAGGCACCTGGCCCAAGCATCTGTTAGAAAGCACTGAGACCCAAAGAAGAGCTGGAAAGAAGCAGTGAGCCAGCAGCAACTGCCCACTGTCCAGCCCCATGTCCAGGCAATAGGAACAGAGGGATGAGGGGGGGAACAGTTCAAGAGATCAGCTAAGCTATTTACAGGCCTTTGTTGTCTGTGCAGTCTGTCACATGTCCTTGTCTTGAGCCACCTCCTCTGAGATCTTTTTTAAATATGCTGCAGGCAGTGTTTAAATCTGGCCTGAGTACTGAGGAGGGACTGAGGATCTGGGATATAATGAGAGAAGTAGGTGGAATGGGAAGCCAGGGGTATGTGGATGCCTTCAGGCCATCTAGGTGGTTTTTTTAGCAGGATGGGTGGCTAGGCAGCATGGCAGAGCCTGAGAGGTGCAAAATGCTGGTCTGAAACCACAGGTGAAATCGTAGGAAAAATCTGCATTAATTTAGCTGGCAGATGGAGGAAGTTAGGAGTATAGTGGGTGAGAGATGTGTCTGTGCACTGGCAATTGGCCAGGGGGACAGGAGAGGTGAGTGTTTGAATTCTGTGATGAGGTTTATCTGTTACAGCTGAAGCCAGGAGTTCCTCTCCCAAGTCCTAAGGACCTCTTAAGGAAAATCTTGATTAAAAACAAAAAGAACCAATCTATGTCTGAGAAGAGGCAGAACTCTTTGAAGAAAGGGAGGAACGCAGAACCAGAAACCACTGAGCAGCCAACCTCTGTGGATGCTGAAGATACTGGTATGTCCGAAGGGAAGGGGGAATAATAAAACTGATGGGCAAAGCCTTCTAAATCACTCAATACTTGGTAAGCTTGGGACAAGCCAGCACTAGTCATTAAATCAGTTATTCCAAGCAGCAGCAGAAAATTGGAAGAGAAATTAAATCTTCAGAATGCTTTGAACACTTAGTCCAACCAAAAGAGAAGAACATTTACCTGCCCATCATCCCTTAGTGATCCACTGATACACTCTGGCTTTTGGGTTGAGGGAAGGGGAATAATTTGTTACTGCTTGTAGCTCTCTGATAACCACAAATTCACCACAGCCTAGTTCTTCACCATGAGGGCCTTGGAGGTTCATAAAACCTTCAGCCCCTTTCTCCTCCCTTCCTGTCACCTCCTGGGCTCAGGGCCCCTGTGGTAGAACAGTCCTAGTCATGGTAAGAACACATGATGTCATGTGAGGACAAGGTGAACAGCAGAACACCTGGAAATGGGCATTTGTTCCTGAAAATATATGTGACCTAGGAGGGGAAACAGCCCAGTGATTGTTGCTCCTGAGTGTGAGGGGAGCCTGCAGCAGGAATGGTTTGGTCTCTTGGGTGTGCTCATCCTCAGTGTACCAGTTCATGTTTGGATTTGGCCAGTAAAATTGTGGGATTCTTCCCCTCAGTGTTCCAGCATTACTTGGTGGTGAGGTTTGGCAGAGCTCTCCACTGCCAGCAGCCTGCAGGGTCCTGTCTGTGTCCTCCTGATCCATACCATTGATAAGGGCCTGTGTGCTTAGTCTGGGCAGGTGATGTGGCTGAAGAGGAGCCAGAGGAAGAGGATGAACAGCTCAGAAATCTGGATGAAGAGGAAATTAAAAAGATGCAGTCAGATGAGGTACTGTCACTGTTGGTTCTTTTCTGTTTTGATTTTTGCTGGCTTCCACTTTTCTCTGGGGCCTCACCCTATTGAATAGAGATGAACCCGAAGTGCAAAGGGGAATGAATCTGTGGGGGACTTTCCATCCCCCACAGGGCAAGACCTTTGCAGTAAAAACTGAAAAAGAAAAATTTTGTTGCAAGCATAAAGAATGTGGCAGAGGAGTTACTGCTGACTGTGCATGATTTGGAGATAACTGTTTGCCTGGGGGTGTTGGAGAGGCTTAGCCTTGGTCTGAGAAATTGTTACTGAAAGTGCTGCTGCTGAAGGAGGGGGGAGAAGATCAGCATTCCCTTGAATAAAAGGTCTGTTTCCCATTTCCATCTCCCTGGTGTCCTTTGGAGAGGAGGAAAAGCAACATCCTTGTTTATCCCAGACTCCATGTTCTGAGGGGTCAAAGAGATCCTGGGCTTCATATATCCTCCCTGGAACCCCTCCATGTGCCTTAATTCCATTTTTGCCCAGCCACATGGAGATCCTGTGCCCCTGCCCCACCATGGAGCTGTAGGACTGGGGAGCCAAAGAAACTGGAGCACTCTGGTCAGGGCAGCCACCAGAGCTCTTTGACTGGGAGGCCCTGGTGCAGTTTGTTTCATCTCCAGGGAAGGTCTCTTCATTGTTCCCTTTTGAATTGTTCTCTGCTCAGGGCACGGCTGGTCTGGAAGTGACGGCGTACGAGGAGATGTCCAGCCTGGTTAACTACATACAGCCCATCAAATTCAACTCCTTCGAGGTCTCTGCCAGTAAGTCAGCCTCAGTCCCTTTGGAATGCAGGCCAAGTGCTTCCTGCCTCTGTCAGTCCCCCGTGCAGAACGGGGGCTGGGCGTGCCTTGCTCCTGAATGCAATCTCCTGTTTCTAGAGAAGAACCGGAGTTACGTCATCTCTTCCTTCACCGAGACCAAGGCTTATGATCTTGTGAGCAAGTTCCCCGTGCAGTTTGTTGAGTATCCTTTTGGCAGCCCTTTCCCAGTGCCACTGGGTGCTTGGAGTGTGAGGGAGATTCTTGACAGGATGCATCCTACTGTAGCCAATGTCAAGGCTGCCAGATGCTTGTCCTTAAGTGAAAAGTGTATGGACAAGAAGCCTGAGCCTCCCTGGGGTCTTGTCTGGAAGGCTCTGAGTATTTGGCAGCAGAGCTCCAACAGTTTTTATAATGGGAATATGCGGGCTGGCCTCAGGGCACAACAGGAACAGTGTTTCCTATAGAGCCTGTAGATACAACAAATGGCAGATGAGCCGCATTTACCCCAAAGGCACCCGGATGGACTCCTCCAATTACCAGCCCCAGATGTTCTGGAATGTCGGCTGTCAGATGGTGGCACTCAACTTCCAGACCATGGGTGAGTGTCAGGGTGTGCTCCAGCCTCCGAGGAGGTGAAGTCAGGCACTGCTGATCCCCAGGTGCTCCTGGTCTCTGTCTCTTCCTTTTCTGCCATTTCCCTGGTCATTGTTCCAGGTGCCTTTTCCCAAAGTGCTGTTCTCCTCTGATTTGATCTCCCACAGACCAACAGCACTTTTCCATGCCCAGCACAGACCTGGCATACACACATGCACTCATATGGACTGCTGTCGCCTTGTGTCCGGGCACTGTCCCTGGCTGTCCTTTTCCACGATGTCACACTGAATCATATCCATGAGGGCACCTGCAGCTTCCATCCCCCAAGTTGCTACCTCTACAAGGAAGAGGCAGAGCTCCATCTGGCCACAGCACTGACCTGTCTGTGCCATTGTTTCCACGATTTTGACCTGACCAGGGAGGAAAGGCCTTTCTTTGCTGCACAACCAGCATAAGAAGGAAAGAAAAGCCTTGCGAGAAAGCTGTACCTTACCCCTCTTCCTTCCTCAGAGGGCTGTGTTATGTATAGAGCATAGGAGACAAAAGGGAGTGAGTGCAAGGTTGGTTCTGAAGAGGATGACAGTGCAGGCAGGTGCAGCAACCACCAGGCAGTGTCCTCAGTAGTGTCAGACAGAAGATGGCCTCAGAGGAGGCCCAAAATGAAATGGGGAAGGAGCAGAGGAGCTTAGACAGTTACTTATTCCCACCCAAAAATAGCAGGTGCTCCTTAAAGCAGGTTTTAATTTAGTTCTGCCCATGACTTAAGGTGCAAGCACAAGCAAACCACTTCCCTTCCTTACAACAGCTGCTGTAATACTTTTCCCTGTAGGGTGCTGAGAGGCTTAATTAGTTTTCAAGATGGCTTTGCAAGCCCTGGGCTGGCAGGGGCTGGGAGCTTCCGGCAGCTTTCAGCTCCCTCCCAGCGCACAGGCTGCCTGTCCCCCCCAGCCCTGTCTCACTGTGTTGCTCTGCTCTCAGATGTCCCCATGCAGCAGAACATGGCCCTGTTTGAGTTCAACGGGCAGTGTGGGTACCTGCTCAAGCACGAGTTCATGCGGCGCCCCGACAAGCAGCTGGACCCATTCTCCGTGGACCGCATCGATGGGCTGGTGGCCACTACTGTCTGTGTCACGGCAAGTACAGCCTGGGCACCCTGTCCTGTGTCACCCAGGGGGACTCTTAGTGCCACATGAACCCATGGAGTCCTGTGAGAAAGCGTTACTGTGGCAACTCCCAGGCTTGTCACTATTTTAAATTAATCATAATCACATGAAAATGGAAAATGAGCATCTGCCGTGCAGAGGGAGCCAAGGCTGTGCTGGTAGGGAGAGAGGAAGTGCTGAAGCAAGAAATAGTGGTGAAGGTAAAAGAAGAGCTGGAGCAGAAAAGCTGTTTTGGAGTGGGAGAGTGACTTTAGGGTGAAGGAATGGGGGGGTCCCTCCGTTTTATTCTTCCCAGCAGTTGCTAACTTGGTTTGTGTTGTTCATAGGTACTCTCTGGTCAGTTCCTCTCAGACCGCAGCGTGAAGACCTACGTGGAAGTGGAGCTCCTTGGGCTGCCAAGGGATGCCAAACGCAAACACAGAACCAAACTGACCTCCACAGCCAACTCCATTAACCCTGTGTGGAAGGAGGAGGCTTTTGTTTTTGAAAAGGTGAGAACATTTGATAGTAATTTAGGCAGAGAATCCTTAAAGCTCCTGATGGCCATGAGCACTGCCTTGGCAGAGGTCAGTGCCAGCAGAAGGGACTCCCCTCTGGAGACCTCAGGCCTGGCTTTGGACACTCTCAGGTAACATCCAAACAACAATATCCAAAATGACTCTGCATCAGAATTTCCCAGAACAGACAAGGGGTAGCTGGGAATGGTTCTGGAGATAACAGGCATCCAAAGTCTCCCCTCTATGATGCCCTCTTCAGACCAATCAGTTTGGAAAACTTCCAGCATCAGAAAGGAACTGAATTTCTGTGGTTTAACTGTCAATGAGAAACAGCCAAGCTGGAGCAGTAATGGGACCAGTTTTCAGTTGTGCCAGAACATGGAAAGCTGCCCTGTCTCTCCCCAGGAATTCAGAGATCACCAATCCAGATGCAGGGCACAGGAAAGATAAGTCAAGTATACATTATACAATTCATCTGTCAGGCACAGTATGAAGATACAGATATTTTCAGCCTACTTGGCTAAAATATCTTCCTTTCAGAAACACTCTGAGGCTTCACTCCTGCCAGAATAATTTTGAATTCATTTTATGGCGCAAGAATACAGGGAAGGAGGGAGTCAAAAGCCTTTATTAACAATGTTCCCATGTTTGCTAAATTATCCTTCCAGTTCATTCCAGTGATTTCTTCCTGGAAGCAGTGGTTTGGAGGGTTTGTTGGCCTGTTTTTGTCTTTAAGTAACCTGTGACCCTGGGCAGGCTGAGAAGACTGTTTGGTGGAGTTTCTGGGCATTCAGCTATGATGTCTATGATAAATTGTGTCCTTAAATTACAAGGATTACAATTTCCAGAATGGCAATGCCATCCTGGAAGAGATGGAATTGTTAGGTTGGAAGGAGGATGCTGCTATCAGGAGTGAGGTGAGGACACTGGTGCCTTACTCTGCTTTTCCCTTAGATCATGATGCCTGAGTTGGCGTCTCTCAAAATTGTGGCTTGGGAAGAAGGAGGAAAGTTCATTGGCCAGCGTATCATTCCCATCATCGCAATGCACCCAGGTAAATCAGTGGAAATTTCTTCAGCTTTTGTGCCCTTCAGACCTGTCCAGTGGGAGCCATAAAGACTGTATAAGCAGCTGCATACTTTGCTCCTTAATCTCCATGCTCATAGGCAGAGGAACCCTGAAATCCATCTTGTTACAGCTTTGGCTTTATCCCATGATATACAGGCTCCTCCTGTATAGAGGAGCCTTGGGCTGCTGGAGCAGACAGGGAGGGACAGGATGCCACCAGCTCCACTCCCTCCCCTCTGTGCCCCAGGCTACCACCACGTGTGCCTGCGCAGCGAGAGCAACATGCCGCTCACCATGCCCGCCCTCTTCGTGTTCCTGGAGATCAAGGACTACGTGCCAGATGCTTGGGCAGGTAGGGAGTGCTAGAATGTGGGGGGAGTGCTTCTGGCCTCTTCCAAACTCTGATTCAGAAGTATTTTTCCAGCATGGGAAGTGCTTTCCTGCTGCACCCTCAATTCCTTGTCAGGGTGGGACTTGAGTGCATGCCAGCATCCTGTCACAGCCTTGCTGCCTTGGGAAGAGCGTGGAGGCTTCCAGCTGTGCCCGGTTCCCACCTGAGGTGCAGTGCAGGTGGAGCAGGCTCCAGTGTGGAATGGCTCAGCCCTACCCTTGTTCAGAGGCAGGGAGAGGTTTCCTTGAGGGAATAGGTGACATCTCTCAGGGGTTGCAGAGATCAGGGGCTTTAGGGAGGTTTTAGGAGTGATGCTCTTCCCTATTGGAAGAGAAGGGAGGTTCTTGCTGGTACTGAGAAATGGGGACCTTCCTTTGAGAAGGGTCAGAGCTGGATGTGACAGCAGCCTCACCAGAGGGATGAACTGTCATGACCAAACCAGAGTGCAACAGCATCAGCCACAGGAGCTCTTGTGAATACTTTTCATGTTTGCTCTCTCCCCCTCTGTGTTCATACAAATGAACCTTATTCACTGGGGAAATCCTGAGAAACTTGATTTATCACATTTTTATTAAAAAGATGAGGTTTATACAATGTTGGGCTGGAATTGGAGTAAGCAGCTGTGCAGGTGGGAAAAACCTTAACCTGGCCCTGGCTTTTGGGAGCAGCGTTCCCAAAATCACTTCACAGAGCTACCCTGAACATCAGTTGTGAGCCATGGCCTTGGACTGGAATTGAGGGGAAGGAGGTTCCCTTCCTCCCTCCCTTGTGCTGTCAGGGAGACTTTGGTTACAAGAAGAGAACACAAACTATTCCTTCTTCACAGTGTCCTGCACTGGGCAGGGAAACGAGTCCATGAGTTGTTTGCTATCCAAGCCAAGCCCTGCTCTCTGTTTCCAGATCTCACTATTGCCCTCTCCAACCCCATCAAGTTCTTCAACCTGCAGGATAAACGCTTGATGAAGCTCAAGGATACCTCAGGGGAGGTGAGTTTTTCCAGGTTCTGTTCTCTAGAGCACCTTGCATGGATTCAGCTTGAAATGATGGAGTTTTCATTTACCTCTGATCTTTGTTTTAGAAGCCTGGCACACAGACAAACCTCTCAACTGCTGAGACTAATGGGGTGACAGGCTCCACTAGGAAACCCAGCATTCCTCTCTCTAACAGGTCCACAGGTAAGTTTCCAAGAGTTTCCAAGCATTTAAGCATCTTGGCAGTTTAATTAATTCTTCTGTACTGACACCAACATCCTTCACACGGGCTGTGTTCTGGTGAGCTCTCCTCTGTCCATTTCCAACCTGGACATCCAAGATGGGACATTAACAGGAACTTCTTTTGGGATTTCAGGAGCAGCAGTGTTCGCCAAGGATGAAGCCATGTTGGAAGTAATGCAGATGGCAGGTAACTCCTCATGCTGGTCACCTGGGCTGAGGCCCTGCCTGTCATCTTATATTTCCACATTAAAAAGACTTGTCCCAACCCTTCTTGGTGTAGCCAGCACTAAAGATAAATCCCAGAAATCTTGGGGATCCAGGACAGGTTTCCTTCAGCACAGCTACACTCCCTGTGCAATATGTTGTTCACCTGCTTCTGGGTACCTGAATGCAGTGTGATGCCAATTCCTTCAAACACGAGGCCTAATTGTGCCTCAAAACTGAACTGAAGGCACAAGAGGAAACCTGTTTCACTCAGGATATATTGGCAAATTACTGTTATGTACATTGCTTTCTTAGAAGTTATTCCTAAAGAAAAGGGTTTGCCAGGACAGAATATGTACCTGGGGAGAGGCATCCCAAGGTGTGGAGCAGAGGGGGCTCTGGTTTGGATGTCATAATCCAGGCACTTGTATTGGAGCTGTATGCTCCAGTTTCCCCACTCCAAGCCTTGGGAAGGAGCTGGCACTGTTCAGCCTTTTTATTTTGTGTTTCAGAGCCTGAGACAATCACCCTTGCTGAGCTGCAGCAGAAGAAGCGCTTCCTGAAGCTGCTGAAGAGGCAGGAGAAGGAGCTGAGGGAGCTGGAGTGGAAGGGAAGCAAACAGAGGGAGGAGCTGCTGCAGAAATACTCCGTGCTCTTTTCGGAGCTGGCCTGCCCTGGGGGCAAGAAAAGGACAGTACGCACAAGGAAAACGCAGAAGAAGAGGTAACCACAGTCTGGGGTCACCTTCCCAAACCAAAACAAGGATCCCCAGGGAAACATGGCCTTCCCTTCTCTGCAGGAAGATGGAGCAGTGCAGGCATGTGCATGTCCCTGGGTTGCTCTCACTGAGGGTGGGTAGGAAGGTTGGGATTGTATTGGTGTGGCAAGAAGCAGCATGGCCCCTGTTCCTGTTCTGCAGGAGCGTGACCCCAAGTGATGCTGGTACCAGTGCAAATCCTGTCAGAGCAGCAGAGAGCATCGATTGCCACTGGCTCGTGGAGCTGAGGGAGAGGCTGGAGAGGGACCTCATCCACCTTGGGGAGGAGCACCACAATCGCATCCTAAGGAAGAAAGAGCAGCACGCTACCGAGGTGAGGGCTGCGAGTGTCACCTGAAAACGTGTCCTGGGACAGCCCCAAAAACCCCAAGTTACTCATTAAACTGAGCTTGGGAATGTGGGCCCAGAACATACCTGACACATGCACACACCAGGTAACTGAGAATGAAGATGTGAAGCTTATTATATGTCTGCTATTTTTTAAAACAAGAGTAGCATTGCCCTGGAGAACATCATGCTCCATGTGCTCCAGCTCTTCTGATGCCTTAGCATGGAGTTAATGTGGTGTTTAGTGGTTTCACACCTTGCCAGGTGCTACCTCTCCGGGAGCCCAGGAGCTGGGGTGATGTGGGGGTGGGCTGAGGGCTCACCAGTGGCACCATCAGAGTATGTTCTGCTGTTTGACTTGGTGGAAGTCAGAGTCCAGGTGAGGGGAGTCCTGCAGGCTGAGCTCAGCCAAAGCCAGAAGGAGCCACAGTGGTGCCTGGGGACAGAGTGCAGGCCATGGGATGGTGGTGATGGTAAATCCAGCATATACTATCTGTTCCGATGAAAGGGGAGCAATTCCAGGCTCGGGAGGCATTTTCCCATTAGTGTTTTCTGAAGGAATTTGCACTGATATATCTTAAATCTTCAGTTCCCTGGTGCAACTTAGGCTTGACAGGCCTCTTGCAAGCTGTGTAACACTTGGGCACTGGCTCACCTGGGAATCAGGTTTCTTACCTGGGAGAGGAGCCAGGGATGAAACCTTCCTGTCTCACAAGTGCAGCCCACTGGCACAGTGGGGCCTGCATGTACAGCTGAGCTCACTCCTGTGCCAGTGTTTGCACTGAGCCTCGGGGTTTCAGAATTTGTTGCTCCTGGAATTCAGTGCAGGGAGGTGTACAGCTGGCTTGGGTGCAAGTGGATACAGATGAGGTGCAGTGTCTCATCCTGCTTTGTTCCCTTTTGGTCTTGTGTTCATCCCTTAAACAGCAAGTTGCCAGGATCCTGGAGCTGGCCAGGGAGAAGCAGGCAGCTGAGCTGCGGGTGCTGAGGGACACATCAGAAAGGTAAATATGGCAGTGGAATCACAAACAATGCCAGGTTCTGCTCCAGGCAGCACTTTCTGCTGGATCTCACAGCCCTTCTCTGCAGCCAGGGAGGGAGGATGGTGAGAAATTGAGGCAGGGGGTGTGACAGGGAATCTCACACAGTGGTATGGGAGAAGATGCCTCTTGTGATCCCCAGAAGAGTGTTCCTGCCATGAGGCACCAAGCAGGATACAGTGTTCCATCTGCCGTGAGCAGCCTGGAGCCACTGACAGGGAAGGATAGGAAATACACTGCTGGTCCCTGGCTGCCACCTCTGTCTCTTACAGTCAAGACCTCACATTAATCCCTTCCAGGGATCTGCTCTATCTTCTAAGTGAATTGAGCATCTTGGCTCCAGTATTTAAACAAACTAGCAGAATCAATTGACCAGTTTCTAGCCAGCCATGTATCCATTTGTTCTTACAAGAACTTTGTCCTGAAGCTGGAATCCTCACTCATTCCTACTTCCCATTAAATGCTGTCTCAGTCTTTAGTTGCAAATTCATATAAAACTGACTCTTTTTGTGTCCTGTACCAAGTCAGAGTCTCTTTACTCAGCTATTCAGCATATTCAGGCAAGTCTAAGGAAACAGGTGAGTAGCCAGGTAATGGTTTGCTGACAGTGGGATGTCATTAGTACAGTCACATCTCCCTGGCTGGGAGAAGCTCCAGAAAGATTTCAAGATCTGCAGCAACAGGCAGTGAAATGGCAGTTCAGCAGGAATAAATATACAATGATGTGAATGGAAAACCCTGGCCACAGCCCATCAGTGCACTGGTTTTGGCACCCAGGTAAGAGATCTTCAGCTGCCATGGATGTTCTTCATTCCCAGCTCTGCAGTGGCCAAAGTGGCAAACAGGATTTTGGGAATTGTACAAGGAAACAAAAAAAAAATTGCGTCAGCCTTGTGCCACTGGATCCATCTGCATAGAGCTGTCCCCTTCTCAGTGTGCCATCTCAAACAAATAAAGTCTTTGAAAGGACAAGAAGAACAGCCAGCACTGGGGAGGAATTTGTGCACAAAAAGGAATTAAATGGGACAGCTAGGAGAACAGATGTTTGAGGGAATGTGACAGGAATGTGTAAATCATGAATGGTCTGGAAGAGGGAAGTGATTGCTCACTGTTTCTCAGTGGAAAGAAGGATGGGACATCCAGTGAATGTCTCAGGTGTGTCTGTCACATTGTGTGTAAATTAAGTGCTATTTCTCTCACAGCAAAGAGCGGTGAAATCCAAAAGGGAAGGTAAACTCTAAAGTACAAGTGACATCATGGAACATGATACCTGCATAGATACTGGAGGATAGACTGGAAACTGGGAAGGTGGAGGAGGGAAAATTTCCTGTACATTTGTTCTTTCTTACACTTGCCTTTAGCATGTGCTGCCTCCACTGCTGGGCCAGGACATATCCTGACTCAGGACTTAAAATATCCTTGGAGACTCCAGGCCTCCTGCTGCACAGTCTCCCACATTTGGTGTTTCTGGACAGTGGAACATTCCAGAGGGCTGTGGATGGAGGACTGCTCTGCTGTCTGGGGTGGTAACCAGGCTGTATCTCCTCTCTTCTCTCCACAGCAACATTAAAGACATTAAGAAGCGGATGGAGGCAAAGAGAGTGGAGCGGGTCCAGGCCATGCTGAGGAATACCAGTGACAAGGCTGCTCAGGAGAGGTGGGGGAGTGGATGTTCCTGGGCTCTGCCCATGCAGGGTGTCCTGCTGACTTGGAAGATGAGAAAGTAGAATTTTGCATCCAGTTATTTGCCTTATGGCTCAGCCAACTCTGAGTAGTGTTTTATTTGTCCTTTGTAGAAGTACAGCAGCTTCTCTCTGTGGTAGGACAGGGTGGGGATGTAACACACCTGTTGATCACTATAGAACTGATCAATCCTGACAACTGTGCTTTATGGAAGGAGAAGAGCTAGATTTTACAGGGTTTTATAATTTTCTTTAAAGGTTGAAGAAAGAAATTAACAATTCCCACATTCAGGAAGTGGTGCAGACAGTCAAACGGGTGAGTTCAGGGGGGTCAGGCTGCCCCAGCAGCTCTGGGTTCTGCAGGGGAGGGGGTGGCCAGGGGAACTCAGTGTCCAGGGCATTTGTAACCCACGACTCGGGAACAATGGGAAAGCCCGGTGAGAGGAAAGACACCTCAAAGACCCCAGCTGCTCTGCCCTTTGAAGACCCAGTGCCAGTCCATGTCTGTCTGTGAGTGTTAGCATTTGAGTCCATTTGTCCCCATGTATGTGTGTCTGAGTGGCCATGTGTCCAGCTGTGTCTGTGTCCACCTGTGTGTCTGTCCATGTGTAGCTGTGCCTGATTGTCTGTGTGTGAGTACAGGTATCCCTGTGTCTGTGTGTGTCCAGGTGTCTGTCCTTATGCAAGTGTGTGTATCCATGTATCTCTGTGTATCCCCCTGTATGTCTGCATCCCTGTCCCTGTGTCCCACATGCCCATGTGCACTCAACCTGCCAGGCTGTCGTGGTGTCCCTAAATCCAGGCTGCTGCTCCTGGCCCACACCCTGCTAGGCTGAGCCTGGGACATCCAAAGCCCTTGCTCATAAAACTGGAACTTGAGGGGGAATAATTTATTCTTTTTAAAGATGACAGAGAAGACTGGCAGGTTGCAGCAGAAACTGGAGGAGAAGCAGGCAGCAAATCTTCAGTCCATCAAGGAGAGAGAAAACCAGGTAAGAATAATGTTTAGGGTCAGGGCTGTTTCTTGGCACAAGAAGTCCAAACCCCAGAGAATCAGTCTTGATGGCCGCTCTCAGCCCACCCATTCCCAGGGGGTGAGAAAGTGGATGAGAGAACCCACACAGACCCCAGAAGGACCAACAGCTCATCCCAGAGCTCCTGCTCTCTCTGCTTGACTGCAGTGTGTGGGAATGACCTGATTCTCCATTTACAGCTCCAGCAGCAAGTACGGGTAGAATATGAGGAGAAGTTGAGAGCTCTGAACATGGAGGTTCAGGAGATGGTGAAGAACTATACCAAAACCAGCTTTCCAGGAGAGCCACAGACTGGGAAGGAAGCAGGTCAGAGCATTCCTGAGGGAGAACAAGGCTCTACAGATCAACTGGAAGCAAATATCCCAGTGGCAGAGGTGTCCAGGCTTACACTGGCAATGACTGAGCCCTCGGGAGCTGCAATGGATGTGGAGATAGAAGAGAGCATATTCTGAGATGAGGCCCTTCCTTACTGTTCATTGCAAGAAGTTATATGGTGAAGTAACAACCAGCTTCACAAACTATTGCCATCCCTTTCCATTCTGGGGAGCTCCTGAAATCCTTCAGGAATGTACCACATTATTCCAGATATCTGGAAGCAGTCTGAAGAGCTCACCCTTCAGAGTACTGCACCTTCTGTGTTCCCCAGCCTGAGCTCTGAGGTATTTCAGCAGTGGGAAAGGGCCTGTGCCTGCAGACCAACTCCCTGTTGGCATCACAGCAGCAGCTACAGGAATATTTACTTTGCATTCAGAACAGTTCTTAGAGACAGTTCCCTCATCATTCTTCACATGCATCTCTTCACATCAGTCCAACTCCTCCTAACATCTTCCACACGGTTCAATGAAACAGCAATAAACAAACCTAAACACTGATACAAAGAGACACCACAGGTGGGGATAGGGGTGGGAAGTGGGCTCAGTCACAGCAAACCACACCATGCTGTGTGTCCTACAGGAGAACAGTTACATCTGAAGCTGCATTAATAAACAATTACAAATGCTGCTATAAAACAAACCAAACCCCAGGTCAAGCAGGTATGAGACAGCATGTTCCACGCCTAGTCTGAACACCCAACAAGAGTCCACCTCTCCCCTGTGGTGTCACCAGAGTACTGGAATTATGGATTGTACATTTCTGAGCTATTTATTTTCTAAAAAATTAAAACATAGCAGTTCTTAAACAACGGGGTCACTTGTTACTTAGCTGCAGTTAGTGTGTGTGTGTGTGTGTCCATCTCCATGTCTGTGTCCAGGTGTCTGTGTAGCTGTAACCATGTCCCTGTGTTCATGTGTGTGTCTACGTGTCTAGGTATGCATGTGTCCATGTTTGTGTGTCTGGTGTCTGTCCATTTGTGTCTGTATGTCCACGTGTGTGTGTGTGATCCATGTCTCAGTGTGGGACTGTGTGTGTGTCCACATGTCTGTCTGTGTCCGTCTATCCAGCTGTGTCCCTGTGTATTTCTCTGTGCCTGAGTGTATGTTCATGTCTGTCATTGTATCCATGCATCTCTCTGTGTCCATGTCTGTCTGTCTGTCCGTCCATGTCTGCAAGCCTGTGTGTGTGTCTGCATGTCTGTGTCTCTGTAGCCAGGTATGTGTGTCAATCTTTGCGTCTGTCTTCTGTGTGTCTGTCCATGTCCCCGTGTCTCACACCTGTCTATTCATGTCAATGTCACAGTGTCTGGGCCTGTGTGGCTGTGTCCATGTGTGTGTGTCCCTGTGTGCCCATGTGGGTGTGTATCTCTGTTCCATGTCTGTCTGTGTGCACGTATCTGTGAGTCTGTGTGTCCGCATTCCTGTGTGGTTGTCTGTCCACCTCTCTCTGTCCCTGTGGTATTTGAGGCCCTTCCTCATCAGAGAACAAACATCTCAGCAAGGTCCAGCTGCAGCCAGGGAGCAGTTGGAGATTTTACCTTAAATCCAGAGAGGCGGCACTGGCAGTTCCAAAGCTGAGTACAGGAGCACTGTGCCCCGCATTCTACACCAGTGTGTCACCAGCTTTGACCACTCAAACCCCTCCAGAGGAGCTTTTTAGAGGTTATTTTAAAGGAAAATTTGTCCCATCTCTTCCCAGAGGGAACCCAGAAACCAGTGTTAGACCAGAACATGGGCACAGGGTGGCCTCTTTTCCACACACTGCCAAAGTTCCAGGGCTGTTTTCTTCCCCTCAAAGCCTCTCTGGAAATGAATCCTGCAGAATAAACCTGAGTCAGAGAGAGACGCGTGGAAAGCCAGGACACAGCAGCAGGGCCAGGATTTGCAGGAGTTTTCCTTCCTCCTGGGCCACACCCTAAAGATTCCGTTGCACAGGGACAGTGGCAGGCAGGACATGCTCTGTCCCTTCACACAGCACATGACAGAATAAACACTCCAAGTCAGGCTGGCCAGGTTCAATCTCACAGGCTGCTCCTACCAACAGCACCAGCACAAGCTGTGACACTGGACAGCACCACTACAGTCTCCTTCCCTCCATCCTGCCACAATTCTCAAACAGCTTCACTTTCCAGCCTGGAGACCTCTAATTCCTGCCTAGCTTCAACTGCTCCCCCAGGAGCCATCTGAGAGCCAGCAGAACCCATTGCTCTGCCCTCCTCAAGCTGAGCTCCTCTGTCCCTTCCCCATGCAGAGCATCAGTGCCCCCACAGCTCTGAACAGCACAAACCCAGAGGCCAAAGCAAGGCCTGACATGGCACTGAAGCAAAATGCTCTGCAGGGGGCTCCTTGAGGCATGGGCATTTCAAAATTGACCAGAGCTGAGCTGGACTATGACACAGGGAACTTTAGCATGTAGAATTCGTAGCATTAATGACCACTGATGTTTGAAACCTGAGCAAGGAAACCCACCATAACAACTTGTGCCCTTACAACCCTCTCACAGTTTCTGCACTGCAACCCTTCTGTTATGGAACCCAACACTAGCACAGGGGTTAATGCCAAATTTCATGAAAAACAGCTGTAATCTTTCACACAGATTTCACCTCAGTGCTAAAAAACACCTTCTAAATGTACTTTTCAGCATGCACACAGAAGCATCACTAAAAGCAAAGCCAGGGCTCCCATGAAGCACAGACCATACTCTGCATCACCCCCTTTCTCCCCAGGGTGCCTCTGAGCCCATGTGCCGCGGTGCCTCCAACACCTCCCTGTCTGTCTGCACAAAATGGGGGAAAGTTCTGCAAGATGGGAAATGGACAAACAAATAAATAATAAAGCATAATAAATAAAGGCACTAAACCAAATGTTACTGCAAGGGTTCCCGAGCACATCTTGAACCCAACCATCCCTCCAGCAGCACAATTCAGTCACACAATGGTTTGGTTACTCACAGACTCCAGAGGGGAGAGGCCATCTGATTTTCCAGCACTATTTCTTCCCACGGGATTGAGATATCCTTGAGGATTCCTTCCTGTGCAGCCCTGCCTGTGTATTCACTTACCTGCCAAGCACAGGGCAATGTGCTATTTTGCTCAGACAGGCCTCTCATCAGGCCTGTCATTACACACAGAACTCCAGTTCAATGGCAATTGAGACAATAACATCTAGTAAGATACTGAACAGCAGCAGATTCAGGTACAATCTCTGATCCTTTCCAAATTTTCATCTTTTAAATGGCATATTTTAGATCTCATCCTGCTCCCAAAATATTTATGTAAGGCCAACCTTTGTACTAGATAATTAAAAATTAGATAATGGGGATGTCTAAAGCAGAGGAGGACTCCAACCCCAGCAAGGGACACAAACAGGAGACACTGTACCTAAATGACCCCAGTCCTTTTTACCTCCGTGGCAAAGGTACTGCTGATGTGCCTAAGGCACTCAGAGAAGGAGCTGCTGCACAGTATCTATTGCATTTTAGAGATACTCTCACTGCCCCACATATATCTCACATGTCAAGATTCCCCAAGATTATCTAGATTATTACTTGTTATCCCATTTATAACCTGGTCAGGGCATAGCCAGCAGCTCTCCCCAGTCTGCAGGGAAGGGTGGCACTTGTCTCAAACCAAACTGAACAATGTCAAATTCAGGAACCTCATTTGAACCAGGGTCCTTCTGTTGCCACTGGTTAAAAAACAGGGGCCTCTACACAAAGATTTGTTCGGTTCCAAAAGAAATGGGATAATAAGCTGCTGCATCCAACATCAGAGGCCTGTTGGAGGGAGACAGGCACCATTATAGATAAACCAGTGCAATTGGGATGCGACAGCCCTGACAGACTCCCTGTTTGATTCAGCAAGTTGTTCATATAAATACCATGTGCCATCTTCAAAGGCCTCCTGGATGCTGATTGCCAGAGCTATGCCAGCAAGGAAAAAGGCTCTATACCAGCAAAGCTGACAGGAAGGAAAATAAAAGGGAAGGATTCAGGGGAAACATGACATAGAACAGCAGCAAACCCTGAGACACGAGTGCACCCTTGTAGAAAAGGAAAGATACTCAGAGAAAACAGCATCTCTGAGCATAATTACCCACTGAGTAGGCTCTGAGCTCGTCGGAGAAGAGGCTACACCTTGCTGTACAATCAGATGTCACCAAGCATACATGAAATCCCGACCTGAACACTACTGCAATACAAATTCCAAACCTGCTCTGCATCCTCATTCTCCTGCCTGGCTGCCTGGTTCCTGGGGAAGGAGCTGTCAGCTCTGGAGACGGAGCTTCAATCTCTCAGCTAATCTAGGTTTATCTTAGGATTTATGTTTGATTCCACATTCATCTAAGTAATGGAGCAGTTAATTGGTGCTGGGCCGTGCATGAACTGCAAAGAGAGAAACATAATAAGCAGGAATTTAATTCTACACTGCACAGGAAGATGGATCCTTTCTGCATTCCTCAGAAATATGGTAATGAGATTTTAAAATTTTATAAGATACTTGAAGGCAATTTTTCCAGGACCTTCCCTCACTGTGTTTAGTTAGATTTGGGCTAAAGTATAAAATGGCGTTAAATGCTAAACCTGTCATCCCTGTCTCCCAGAAGCCTTTGTTTCAGGACTCAGGATCCAGGCTCCTGCCCCAGTCTCCTCTTGTTTTAGAAGCCATATAGCCACAGAACAGGGAAGTTAGAGCAGACTCCAAGGTTCACACTCTGATCTCTGAACTATAGACACATTTTTAAGCATCTCAACACTTTAACAGGTTTATGAATAAATCAAGAACTACTTTAATTTAAAACACAAGTGCAAAGGATTCACAACTAAAGACGAGCAGGACTGTTTGTTTCAAATTATAAATCTTTTCCAAGCCCTGCTTTTTTTGCATTAAAAAAAGCAATATATCTGGAATACAGAAACATTTTACATCAAAAATTTTCCAGTGCAGCTAAGGAGGAGCTTAATGAATTAATTTCAACCAACTCCATCGGCCCAAACTTAGACATCCAGTTTACAGAAACCCCCTATGACCTCTCTACCTGCCATGGGTGAGAGAGAGTGATTTTGTCCTTCAGCAGATGTCTGAACCAAGGGGATGAACCACCTCTGGAGTTGTTCCCCCAGGGGTGTTCCTCTCCCCATGGGCTACAGAGCCAACCTACACATTCTGCAGACTGGGTGCCCACCCTCTGATGGCTGGCAGCAGTACAGATGAATTCCATCCCAAATTACTTCAAGTAATCAACCATAGCTTCAATTTTGAAGCAGGATCTGTAGCTGGAGCAAATAGCAGAGGACAGAGGTTATGAACATCTTCTGAAGAAAACGCAGTTCTGAGGTCAGTTTCTGAGACAGCAGGACTGTCCTGAGAATAACTAAAAGTCCAAAATCTTGGTATCTGGAGTTTCAAAACAAGATCCCAGCTCCACATCTACAAATATATTCTTGAGACCTCACAACAACACACACCATCACTGTACAATGTTAATCCCAAGCTAGAGTCCAATTACCTTGAGGATCTCACTGATCAGAGAGTGCAGCATACAAAATACCTAAAACTACGTCAAAATAACTGAAAGAGCTGTTTAGACAACCAGAAACCTTCCAGATTAAAGGGCTGACAGGGAAGGGCAGACCAATAGCCAGACAGCAGCACACAAACACAAAAATCAATCCTGGGATGTGCAGGATAGCTCAAATATTTACATTTGGTCTCCTACAGCATCCCCAAAATGCTACCCAGTAACTGCCCCAGGGCAGCACTTCTCAGCCTCTCCAGAGAGAGAGGACTGGGAAAGCAAGCCA